TAATTTTCTAATTTTTAAGTCGTCTATCGTAATTACACGTTGTCACCATCCATAATTGCTCTAAGTTAACGTACTAATGATGTTGTGATGTTCTCTTCGACTGACAACCGGAACTAAATTACGTTGGTCTACGCATCGCCAATGACAATAAACTGCTATGCATCTATGAGCATTTTTCTGTGGAAGTGTAATCTGGACGCACTCTTGCAATAAAAGCACGAAGGTAGGAAAAGACGGGGCCTTTTGTTTCGCAGGTCCACTGTTCAGCGGGGGTTTTAGTCGCTACGGTTACGTTTGAACTATCGCCTATGTCATTCAGCAGCTGGGTTGACGGATACGCTTTTCTCACTAGTGGCATTCTTGGCATTTGCTAGTTATTCTCTCACTTTAAAAAATGCAATCTTTCAAACGCAAGAGCTCTTGTATTGTTGGTTAGCGATTATTTTTGTATTTTCAATAAAATATTTCTTCGAAAAATTAGTATGCCTATCGGTAAGTTAAGGAATTCGTTTCAAGCTGATTTAATGACTGATTGCACTTTCTCGCTCTATTTGGCCTCGTACTTGTTGATTTTTATCCTATTTCTCTCTTTCTTAATCTAGGTTCTGTTTGTCGACGAGGTTCATATGTTGGATATTGAATGCTTTTCTTTCCTCAACCGGGCACTGGAATCTGATATGGCGCCTATACTTATAATGGCTACCAACCGAGGCATAACCAGGTATGAAAACTTACTTCTACTTTCCTTTTGCTTAATAGTGATTCCAGATTTTAATATGTTTTTCAGTCTTAACAAACGACCGAATTCCCACAAAAGTAGTCTAGTTAATGTAGTCTTCCCGTTGTCGGGAGAAGTTGTATCGACCGAGTCGTTGGCTTTAGCAGTTGTGATTTCGGCTAAAGTTTACATTATGAATATTATCTTTTTCAAAGCATCATCTCTGAAGTTTATTTCCAGTCTCACTGGCTTCATCTTCCACTGTTTGTTTCCATGGACTTTATTATGTTTTCATATGAACCATGAAATATTCTGAGTAAAGTAAATATGTTGGAGGTTTAGTTGACATGCGTACATGTGTCGTTATATGATAAATGGATTTAGTTCTGAAGTGTTTTGTTGATATTCTAGAGTAATGCACCATGCATCTGGTGCGGTCTGCTTTCGCGATATTTTTTATTGAATATAATTTTAAACACACCATTTCATGGTTTTCCTGTAATGACTCCCCCAAATGGCCCATTAATGTGTTGGCAAGAACGAGTGGTATGTCCAGAGAGAATGTCGAAAACTCTGTGATCAGCGGTCAGTAACTCCCTCTACGTTGCCGTCGCCTCTTAGGTCTGTTTGTCATTCCGCATCAATTTCTTCCACTTTTAACGCCCATCAGTACTAGTTGATGAAACAGACTGGACAGTTTTTGCGAGTTTATAGTATTTTTTAAGCGGTGTGTGCATGTTTAGTTCTATTTGCTTCTGGTTCCGTTTATGGGTTCCCATGTAGACCTGCAAGCTATTGTTCTTAAATTTTAACACTGGAATTCTTTGATGCTCCACGCATGTTTTTTTAATATTTTTTTAAGTGGAGGTCAGAGTCCGGTTTATTGCTTTGATGTTCACGGATTTTCTCCATTAGCGCTACAGTCTCTGCCTTGTCCGTGTATTTTCTTGTTTAAAAAATATAGTATAATTATTAACCAAACCACTCTTACACCTTCTTACGACTAGTGCTTAACTTGTATCGGGTTATCCGTTGTGGACACGCTTTCTTCTCTGAAAAGGTGGCGTAGTACGACACTTTTTGGTTTACGCTTTGACCTCACTGAGTTGATTATGCCCATCATAATAGGTAAACTGCTTATAGATCTTCTGTCCTTA